ACTTGTAGTTAGTTCAAGGATCGCTGGCCTTTAGGAATGTTTTCCAGTCCAGTCTGTTGGGGCACCATGCCCTGGCCCCAAGGTCCACCTTCAGCATTCACTGAGGACCTTACTGCTCCATTTCCTTGCTGTTCCGCTGCACTCCCCCAGTGCTTTGCCTCAGTGTGGTGGGATCAGATCGGGTGTAATGAAAATCTTTTGTAGACTGGCCTCAAGTCACAATACATATAGGTGAGGAATACAGAATGAAGTAGAAGGGTATTTGGAATCATATGGAGGTAGACTGAGTCCCAAGCAGAGGAATCTGTTCTTGCTTCTAGATGCACCAAGAGCTGATTTTTGGAAGCTCACCAACAATTTGCGGAATGGTTTGAAGAGAGTTGAGGTAGGTATTCTAGAGATGCCTCTATGGCCCCTCAGGAAGGGCCAACATGAGAACAGAAAAGAGGTGAAGGCAGAGCGCACTGGGAAATAAGAAATGAAGGGGTTTAGAAGCCTAAAGACAATTCAAGGAGGAGAGGAATCTACAACTCAGTTCAGAGGTCTTCTGCATGGCATGGTGATGGTCTGTGATCAGGGCTCCAACTCTATAAGAGATAGAAGGAGCCTACCGTCCAAAGGAGGCCTTAGTTAAAGCTAAGCCTAACATCAGGACTAGTAGGACTTCATCCAGTTACAATTACGGTGCCTCCTGCCCAGCTCCTGCAGCGCAGCCAGGATCATGATGCCGGTCCCTGCGCCCAGTTCATTCACCTTCCCTAGGAAATCCACATTTTGCCTCGAAATATTTGCACAGGCTCAAAGCCGGGCCCTGAAGTTCTGCGTGATGCTCAGCACGTGCCCACAGAAGCAGAACCGACTCTTCCGAGTAAGAATCTGCAAAGAGCCTAACCTCATGCGGGAACACAGACTGCGCCTTGGATTCTGCTGTGGGCCGGGGTCCACCATCTGGCTGAGCACGCCCAGCTGCCACATCATGCGCTTGGATCCCGGATCTGCAGCTGGGGCGCCCCTTTTTAACTTTTTATTGTAAATTAGGTGAAGGTTTACAGAGTAGTTTTATCAACCCTTCGATCAATAGTTCATACACACTTTGTTTCAATTCATCCATTGCAATTCCCTCAACGTACCATCACTTATCCCACTTCTTCCCTGTGGCTTGCTTTTTCCATTCCTCCTTTCTTAACCATTTGTTTGTTAGTTTATCATATGGTGGTGGGTTGTGTGTTACTGTGATGCTGGAAGCTATCTATGTCACTGATATTTCAAATGCCAGCAGGACCATCCAAACTGAAAAGGTTTCACTGGAGCTTTCAGACTAAGAATAGATGAAAAAGGAATTGGTTGTTTACTTTGGAGGAATTAGCTACTGAAAACCTTATGGGTAGCTTGGAAACATTGTCAGATAGTGAAGGCTTCATGAATAGAAGCAGAACAGTCGGAGGTAGTGCCAAAATATCAGAAGTCACTCAAAATATGAGCGAGGAAAAGCTCCATTCTCAAAGTAGAGTCAACAGCAATGACATAAGACCTGTGGGAGTAAAGCCTTAGGACCTTCATTTGCTGATGGGCCTGGCTTAATATCAGAAGAAACAGTTGT